AGCCATGAGGTTGTTGGGAGAGTGGCAGTTTAGCCATGAGGTTGTTGAGAGAGTGGCAGTTCAGCCAAGATGCCATTTTTTTTCTTTCAATTTCATGCGAATATGGCGTGCTCGCCTCGTTGGAGATGACGTGACGGTTGGTGCCATAGCGCCGTGACTGGTGAGTTACTATGTCTCTGGTTATCTAGGAAACAAATAACCTTATTCACTTCATAAGTGCTGCTACGGCAAGCCCATCATCAACCAAGTGATACAAGGTATACTTGAGCCCAAGATGCTCCTCAAAATCTCCGGAGATCTCTCTTGTGCTAGGTATCCCAAGACCCCTGGCAGACGGGTTTCCTATTCGGGCGAATGATGCGCCACAAGTACAGGAGCTCAGTCTCCATGCACCGCCACAGCGCCAAGCACCTCCAGATGCTGTGCGTGAAGCTGGCCATACGAGAGTTGAAACGTAACCCTCTGTGTCCTCAACTCTCGGCCAATTAACCGGTTGATGTACCATCATTCACTTCAAATGCAGGTCATTTGAAGCAGTTTTCGTGGCATACTCTGTTCTTTCGCGCTCACTTTTCTCTTTCACCATAGCCTTCCTCTCCTGCTAAGCTCCTTCTCAGGGGGTCAGGACTGCATCTTTGATAACCGCCAGATTTGACGACATGGCGCGCCAGAAACCAGCAAAGCCAGCCAAGGACGATGCCGCAGACTCATCCCTAGGATTCACCCCCGAGCGGTTCGAGCGAGAGCTCAAGGACCTGGCGGCCAAGGCGAAGAGCGACACGCGGGGCAACCGGCTGCTCGGCCAGGCGACGCTCTACGTCAAGGCGGCGGCGCTGCTGACGCTGCTGGGCATCTACTCCAACGCCTCGCAGCTGGCGCTGTCGCCCGTGTACGGGTCCGTCCCCGCGGCGGGCTGGCACTCCAAGGCGCTCATGGCCGGGTGCTTCGTCGGGTGGGCGGGCAACCTCGCGCTGAGGCAGCTGCTGCGGCCCCTCGGGACGGCGCGGCTGCTGCCGCTGGTGGCGCTGTACGTGCCCGTGATGCAGTGCTTCCTGTACAGCTTCAGCGAGGCGCTGGGGGCGAGCTGGGGCCCGCTCGTGACGGAGGGGGTGACGCTGGTTCCGCTGGCGATTCTGACGGCCGCTTGCGTGGCGGACGAGCTGGAGGGTGCGGACCTGAGTTCCTTGCCCAAGGGCCTGGGGGAGGCCGTTCCCGGGATCGGCTCGTGGGCGACGTTTAAGCTGGTCGAGCACGTGGCGGAGAAGATGCTGCAGAGGCACGTCGGGACGGTGTTTTGGTACACGCGGATGGGCCTGGAGATGCTGCTCGCGGGGTGCTATGCCGTCTTTGCGCCGTCGAGGTGGCTCGCGCTTGCGATCCCGGCGCTGGTGCACACGGCCATGTTCAATCCGCATGTGGCCACGCCGGCGGCGACGGCGTTGTTGAATTCGACCCTGGCGGCCGACCACTGGCTGCTGCTGGACCGGCGGGAGTCGGTGACGGGGTACGTTTCCGTGGTCGAGAACACGCAGAGCAGGATGCGCGTCATGCGGGCTGATCATAGCTTGCTGGGGGGAGACTGGGTGGATTGGCGGGGGAATCAAGTGACGGAGCCGATTTACGCCGTCTTTGTGAATTTGGAGGCTATTCGCTTGGTGGAGAGGGAGAGGCCGGTGGCGGACTCGAGGGCCAAGGCGCTGGTCATGTAAGTCCTGATTTTGGCCCCCCCC